CCTATATTTATATGAGAGAGAGAGAGAAAGTGTGCATGAAGAAGAGAGCGGAAGCAATATTGCAGTGATAGGAAATGTTACCTTCTCTGATTTCAAAGGGGGATTGCAACCTTTGCAACTTACCCCACCCCTTTAATCCATGCATGAAGTGTAATGGTCAAGTAACTAAAGAGAAACAATACTTCTCTATTGCGGAAGTGGTAGGTGCAGTATGCCATATGGTCTTTATAAACTACGGGACACCGCGAATAATAACACAGGCGGGTATTGTAATACAAATTTTATCATATACCATTTCATATCCTGTGTTTTTTTGTTTAGTTTTTTTTTTGTTTGTTTTTGTCTTTGTTTTTTCCTTGAATTCTTAGAATCTGAAACGGCACACTCCTCCTGACGCAAAGCAGCCGTCACAATCACAGAATTCCATCGTACAATACAATTTTTTTTCAATTCATTTACAGAACGGCAGCAAGCTATAATTCGTGGTACAACGCTAGCGACACTGACAAGAATAATGACCGTGCAAAGAAGGCCTACGATGCTGTCCTTACTGTTACGACCCGTGCACCAACAGGGGATCCGTACCGTGATTTCTCTAATGAGGTGAGCCTTTATACAATTTCTTCGTTCAGGTATTTCGTTAAAAAAAAACTGTAATTGTGTGTGTTATCTTAGGGTGAAACTCAATATGGTCATCCCTCAAGGGTTTCTCATTTCAGATCTATCGTAAAATAGTAGCTAATTGTATTGTCTTCCCACCTAACCAATTAAGATGAAACTCTAAATGTTCACCTTTCAAGTCACCTTAAAACTTTTGCAAAAAGTAGTAACAACTAAAGCTAAACAATGGATGAATAAAAAGAATACTTTCCACAGACAAATTGAGGTTTAATCCCTCTTGTTCACCCTTCAAATATTAATCCAGATCTTTCGCAAAGGTAATAATGTGCCATATTAACAAACAGTTAAGTAAAATACTTTCCATTATCAAAGTTTCTTAAATGTTGTCTAAGAGGAACCACCATAGTTACTTACACTACTGATCTAAAGCAACTAATTTCTTAGTCTGACCTTCCGTAAACGTAATAATGAATCAAGTTAACAAATAAATTAATACCAGTCAATCCACAAGGTAAGACGACAATCCGCTGCGGCAATAGTATTTATTCAAAAACAAAAATAAAAAAAAACATCTTTACCTGTTCCTCTAAATTTCGTAGAACTATGAACTCTTATTTCCATCAGCTTTTCCAATGTATCCGATACCCTTTATCATATAACTAATGATAAAAGAATGAGCATACACTGTCTGTACTGAAAGACTTTATTCAATATATTTACGCTGAAAGTTGTCTTCCTCTTTCCTCTCTCAGTATTCCCAAATCCCCTGATCCTCTTACTCCTCTTATTCCTCTTCCTCCCCCCCCCTCCCCTCCCCTCCCACCCCCTCTCCCGTCTAAGCTCATGGCATTGTCCATGTACCTGCTTTGCGTGCTTGTCTGTTTGTTTGTCTGGCTCTCTCTCCCTGGTCCCTCTCTATTTCTCTCTATCTTGCCTGGCCTCTTTCTCTTTCTCGTCTCTCTCTCTCTCTCTCTCTCTCTCTCTCTCTCTCTCTCTCTCTCTCTCTCTCTCTCTCTCTCTCTCTCTCTCTCTCTCTTTCTTTCTTCTCTCCCTCTTTCTGATCTCTCTCTCTCTCTCCTTCTTTCTGATCTCTCTCTCTCTCTCTCTCTCTCTCTCTCTCTCTCTCTCTCTCTCTCTCTCTCTCTCTCTCTCTCTCTCTCTCTCTCTCTCTCTCTCTCTCTCTTCTTCTCTCCCTCTTTCTGATCTCTCTCTCTCTCTCTCTCTCTCTCTCTCTCTCTCTCTCTCTCTCTCTCTCTCTCTCTCTCTCTCTCTCTCTCTCTCTCTCTCTCTATCTCTCTCTCTATCTCTCTCTTTCTCTTTCTCTCTCTTTCTCTCTCTCTCTCTCTCTCTCTCTCTCTCTCTCTCTCTCTCTCTCTCTCTCTCTCTCTCTCTCTCTCTCTCTCTCTCTTCTCTCTCTCTCTTTCTTTCTCTCTCTCTCTTTCTCTCTCTCTCTTTCTCTCTCTCTCTTTCTCTATCTCTTTTTCTTTCTCTTTCTCTTTCTTTTCCTCTCTCTCTCTCTCTCTCTCTCTCTCTCTCTCTCTCTCTCTCTCTCTCTCTCTCTCTCTCTATCTATCTATCTATCTATCTCTATCTATCTATCTATCTATCTCTCTCTCTCTCTCTTTCTCTCTTTCTCTTTCTCTTTCTCTCTCTCTTACTCACTCTTTCTCTCTCTTTCTCTTTCTTTCTCTCTTTTTCTTCTCACTCTTTCTCACTCTTTCTCTCCCCCCCCTCTCTCCCCCTCTTCTCTCTCTCTCTCTCTCTCTCTCTCTCTCTCTCTCTCTCTCTCTCTCTCTCTCTCTCTCTCTCTCTCTCTCTCTCTCTCTCTCTTTCTCTCTCTCTCTCTCATTCTTTTCTCTCTCTCTTTTCTCTCCCAGTCTCTCTCACTCTCTCTCACTCTCTCTCACTCTCTCTCCTCCCCCCCCCCCTCTCTCTCTCTCTCTCTCTCTCTCTCTCTCTCTCTCTCTCTCTCTCTCTCTCTCTCTCTCTCTCTCTCTCTCTCTCTCTCTCTCTTCCTTTTTCTCTGTATTCATCAACCTCCTCCATCCCCTTCTCGTTCGACCTCCTCTCCGCCTTTGTGATAAAAGCAGCTTTAGTTTACAAACAATAC